TCTCCAGGGCGCAGCAGCGCCTCCATGCTTCTCCGCGCTCTCCAGGGCGCAGCAGCGCCTCCATGCTTCTCCGCGCTCTCCAGGGCGCAGCAGCAGCGCTTCCGCGCGGCTCCAGGGCGGCTCCACGCGCCTCCACGGCGTCGCTGGGGCCCCGGGGCCTCGTTTGCAATCTCACCCGGACTCCCGCCGTCTCCGCCATGTGGGACAGGCTGGGGCTCTGGGCTCCTCTCCTCCCGCACCTTCGGTGACCCCAACGGCCTCCTCCGTCCTGGCCTCAGAACGTAGGCTCTCCTTTGCTACCGAACTTTCCTTCACTGGAGAGTTACTGGCCTAGATTTAAAATGAGGAAACAATAGGGAAAGGTGGAGAATGGATGAAGGCAGGCCAGGATGGAACATTGGAAAGGTCTCGAGTAAAATTCACCGTGGTCAACGGAGCCCTAGAAAACGCAGGTTGGGACAGGCACCTGATTTTATAAAACACACTGCTTCCCAATTGCTTAAGAAACTCAATTTCTGACAACTCCACGGCATCTGAATCCGTTGAATCGGACGGGCTCAAAGTCGTGCAGAATATTGGCTCCTTTTTAGAAATCTCCATTGAAGAATACAACTAATGCCACGTAGACCATCTAGTGCTCCCAAGACCCTAAGCGTGCCGCCGTACTTCAGACAGGCCTCGGCAGGGTCAGTGGCATGACTGTAGTCTCCGACTTACATGTCCCCTGGCTTTCTTGGATGCAAAGCTTAATACCCTGCTGATGATCACCATCACCCTTTCTTGAAAATATAAATTATCTTCATCCATCCACTTCATCATTTCCTATTGGGAATACAAAAGTCATCTTAGAAACGTGGCATTGTTATTTCTTGCTTTTTTTTTTTCCCCCTGCCAGTCCTGGGGCTTGAACCTCAGGGAATGGGCACTGACCATTCTTCTTTTTGGCTCAAGTCTAATACTGTACCACTTGAGCCCAGCATCATTTCCAGCTTTTTCTGTGGTACTGAGGTCTCAAACCCAGGGCTTCATACATGCTAGGAAAGCACTCTACCACTAAGCCACATTCCCAGTCCACATTTTTATTTCTTAACATTCCCTTCTATTCTCCAATTTGATCAATCCTGGGATCCCTGTGGTTTCCCATGAAAATCCACAAGTTATCTAATTTTATCTCAGAAATCAGCAATTCTCAAATAACTAATATTCTACTTTTCCTATTATAGTAACTCCATCTATATTTTAAATTAATTACAGTTAATGCATTACTAATATTTATTACAATGGCCATTTGTCAGATCAGACATCACAAAAAGCCTAGTAGGATGTGTAATGATCTGATAACCAGCTGCTTTTGTGCTTTTTGCCTAAGACATAATCTCCTAAAAAACAAATGAAAAAGATAGCATCTACTTACTTTTCAGTTTTTAAAGAGAATTGAAATTTTATCTTATAAAATTCTGTCTTTTTCTTTATATTTGTTTTTTCATTAAATTCATTTTATTTTTGTTATCTTTAAACAGTTGTACAAAGGGTTTCAGCACTTCAACTTATGATTACAATGCATACTTGGTTAAAAATGTCTTGCTCATTTGTATTTAAATCTGTCACACTGCACCCTCTACTTGTCCTAAAACCTAAGATCAGAGTATCTATGCCAATGATTGGGAGCAAATCTTGTTGCACTGACTTTCCCCAATGTGGCATACTGTTCATTCATACCGCCCATTTTCAGAATATCTGAGACTAGAAAATACATAACGAACAGACTTATTTCTTACAATTCAGCCAGGTACGAGATCCAAGGGGTAAGAGCTCTCATTTGCTGAGGGTTTTCTTGCTGCACTCATGACAGAGGGGAGCAGAGAAAAGACAGAAAAGGAAGGGGCCAATTTCATCTTTCTTTTACAGTATCCACTTCCATGACAGTGTCTTCAATCCATTCATCATGGAAGAATCCTTGAGATATAATCAGTTCTCAGAGATACCCCTTTAACCTGTTGCACTGGGGATTGATTCCAAATATGAATTTTGGGGGAGATAATCAAACTTTAGCAAGAACAGAACCCCCACAGGGTTCCCTCCCTTTGGTGGGGATTGTGAGGCAGCAAGTGTACAGGCTCTGTTGTTTAGACAGATAATAAGGTAGTTAAGGACAATAGTATTCTTCACCCACATGATGTTCACCAATATATTATCGCAGAAAATTTGCCGTCTCAAGAGCTATTGATTTCTTAAAAGTATATATATACACATATATATAATTTTTATTTGTTGGTCATGGGGCTTGAACTCTGGGCTTGGGCATTATCCCTGCGCTCTTCAGCTCAAGGCGAGCGCTCTACCACTTGAGCCACAGCACCACTTCCAGTTTTCTAGTGGTTTATTGGAGATAAGAGTCTCATGGACTTTCCTGCCTGGGCTGGCTTTGAACCGCGCTCCTCAGATCTCAACCTCCTGAGTAGCTAGGATTACAGGAGTGAGCCACAGGCACCTGGCTAATACCTAAAAGTATATTTTTGTAAGTCAATGTAAGTGATTTTATTTTGTGAGTAATCCTACATTATTGGAAGTATAAAAAACAATTCTGTCATCTAATCCTAGAAGAAGATACAAATTTGGCAAATGAGAAGTGGAGCATGCGTGCTTCATGTTTGTAATAAGTAGCATTGTTTCTTTTTCATTCACCTTTAAGATCTGTAGTTTGTAGAGGTCTTTAGATACTAAAATCAGAAGAGTGTCCTCATACATGTTGAAAATGCTCATATAAACACTCTGAAATACAAAACACAACAAACAAAATTTTACCTAATACATGCAGTTTTAGCATCTAGATGTCCTAAGTTCTTCCCATAAACTACAGGTAAGACAAGAGAAAAATGGCTATATGTTAAGACCTCATCCAGTTTCATAGGCAAGGAATTGTTTTTCCAGCTTCTAAGTTAAGTGCACTATGTCACAGTGTTGAGGAAATAGAGACAAAACATATTGCCAGTCTTAGTGTAGGACTCTTCTTCTTTCTTTCATCTCTCTCTCTGTTTCCCTCTGTACTGTACTTTTAGTAAACTCCTTGCCCTTGTAAACTAATAAGCCATTAACAAAAAATCTTCACACATTTGTTCCTATAAACACTACGTAATCTAGTATTCACAGGATGATCTAGTGTATAGATCAGTGCTAGAAAATGTTATTTACCTAAGAAAAATGAAGGAGTAGGCAGTAAATATTACAACCTACTGAGACACATTCTGTATGTGTGCCATGATATACAGGAATGCCTGGTCCAGATTTAAGGAACAAAAGATCTTACCTCCAGTTCCTCCTTGTCCTCAGCATTTGTCCCCATTGTTTTCACTACTTCAAGGCTTGGAATAGCAAAAGCCTTTCTAAATGATGACTCTATTATGCTCAATTGAGATTCATACTGAACTAAAGGGTCTATAAAACTGATAAGAACAAAGTATAATCATTAAATTAGTAAGAGCTCAAATGTAACCTAACTTTATTGGCTCTTATTTTTGTAATAGAAGAATGTATACCAGAAAGTGAGGCCCAGATCTGGCTTTAAATAATTCTCTTAACAACAATGATTTTAATATGAAATAATAAATGTCTTATAAATATAACCCATAAGTCAGAATTTATTTCTCCATGAATTATGCTTCTAAAATTATGACTGGCTACATTTCAGCCAAGTTTCCTACCCATGTAAAGCTTTAGATAGTTGAAGTGTTACTGCCAGTTTCCGTACTTGATGATATTATATTTCCCCATTTTAAGATTTTTTTCTATTTCAATCTCAAATTGATGGTAAAAGAAAACCTTCCCATCATCAGCTAAGATTATCTGCTTATTTATGCAATAGAATAAAGACTGAGACATGGGAAAGAAATAATAATTACTAATACTGGATGATGGAATTTGGAGTGATTTAATTATTTCTCACTTAAAAGAAGATATAGTATTTTAAGGATATTTAATTAGTGAGACAAGAGAGCACTGCATTTTGCATACCTGGAGTTCATGGCCAGGATCATGGACTGGTGACACAGCAGGTCTGAGAATGTATCTAGTAGGCTGTTAGCTATACTCTCCTAGGTATCATAAACAAAAGCCCAGGAAGAATGAATGATTACAGACTTGTGAAACTCAGAAAAGCATACTAGGTTTTTCTTACAAAAAACAAAGAAAGCAAATCAGAGTATAAGCTGAGAATTAGTAGAATTGAGACTGGAAAAATGATAACTTAATCCACATTATTGGGTTAGCTAGATAGTGACATTTTACAGCCAAAGACAGTGATTCTACAATTAGCATTTTCAGACATTTGTGAGGGTTATTTTTTTATAAATAAAAGACATTTGTGAGGGTTATTTTTTTATAAATAAAAGGTATAGTCAGTTTATATATATTTTTTTGTCGGTCATGGGTCTTGAACTCTGGGCCTGGGTGCTATATGTTTTAATAATCACAGTCAGTCCATTCCTCTTTCTGAGAATAAAAGATTATTATATACCTGATGGCAGCTTTTCCCTGTGTTGTGTGTTAATTTGGACTTAGATGAAAAAAAAAAGAGCAATAGTATTTTTCAAGATTCCAATAAATTTTGAAAACTGAAAGGATACTGTATTGCACACTTGATGAACAATGAAAAATCAGAGTCTCTGCCTTCTGGTGGTGAAGTACAAGAAAATTTTCCAAAGCCATACAGAAGATAAATGAGAAAGGAGGGATGCGAAGGAGACCGTGGCCTCCACTCAGAGGCTGGGGGAGTGTGGCTGCAGTTTGTTGAGAAGGATTTCCATGGTAAGGACATCTTATAGAAAGATCAAGAGATGGGGGTAGGGTGAGGGAAATGGAAAAGTAAACTTTTTGATTAACTGAAGGCCATTTGTTTTTATGGTACTTGGATTTGAACTCGGGCTCTGTGCTTTTTAGGTAAGCATTACTATCACTTGAGCCATGCCTCCACCTATTTTTGATCTGGTACTTTTAGAGATAGTGTCAGTTTTCCCCTAAGCCAGTGTGTACCTTGGTTCTCCTATTAATGCTTCCTGCCACAGCTAGGATGGCAAGAATGTGCCATAACACCCTTTCTTGGTTGGGTGGGGTCTTGAACACTCTTTTGCCTGGTGTGGCCTCCAACTACAATCCGACCTACCTAGGCCTTATCATTGGTAAGATTATGCCATGGACCTTCAGTGTCCAGGCTAGCTGAAAGTCATTTCTAAGGACTGAAGGAGGTAAGAAGGCAATGCTTCATGGGAAGACAAAGTAAAAAATAATTTTCAGCCACATTACCTTTTATTTCCCCCAACCCCACATATAATGTAAGTGTTAAGTGTAACATCCTTGTAATGGAACTGGTGAACAAGGTCTCTTGGTTTCCTAAGAGATTTCAATGGCACTATGTCTTCATAGAATTTCACATACCATGCGGTGCCATTTCACACAGTTGTGCAGAGTCTGGAGGTGACCTGACAGCCAGAAAGAAGGAGCGTCGTTAAAAAGCAATGGACACACCGTTCCTCACCTCAGTCAGAACTTATCCCTAAACCTGAGGCTAGCATAACTGTTATTATTTATTTATGTTAGTGATAGGCCTCATGCCTAGCAAGTGCTAGGCATATCCAGTTCTTTTTAGTTTGTTTTTCAGGTAAGGTCTCTTACTTTTTCCTTGGGTCTATATTGACTGCTGTCCTTTTACATGTATCTCCTCAGTAGCTGGTATTATACGTATACACCATCAGGCCTGGCTTCTAGAAGCTAGTATTACTTTGATGATGAAGCCTAATGGGGGATGGATATATGTGTGTGTGTGTATGAATATATATTAGCACAACATAATACACTATAGACAAGTGCATTATGACTATTCTGAATACTTAATAAAACAGAATATGGGCCCTAGCCAAATAACATTTGTTCCAGAGGCTAGTTGTTCATTGAAAGAGAACCTACAATGAATTCTTAACATGCTTTGTTATAAAGAGAAAACTCACATATTCATTTTCACTTGAGGCAAGCTTTTCTTTTTCCTTTTTTTGACCCTCAGACATAATTGTAGGATTTAATAATTGTAGAAATCCAAAATGATCAGCATCAAATCTCAAAGTCAAAGTGAATTCTCACGTGCATGCTGGCCTGATTAGGCACAGCCACTGAGCTGCCTCAACCAATCAAGGAACTATGAAAAGTAGCATGAATTCTGCACTATTGTATCTCATCATATGTACTATGTGTTTAGTGTCAATACAGCATTTGTCTCCATGATGCTGGAGCTTGGAGGAAGACTAAAAGAATGTGTAGTGATTCTCAGAAAGGTTCACACCTACACAGCAGAGCTACAGTAGCAGGAGGAGAGGACAAAGTCCTTTCTTCCAGTATCTGACAGTTGTAATGGCAGACCTATCTAGACGGGACACTAGGGCTTAAAAGCTGAACCCTGCCCTCTGTCTTAACTGAGAGGTCCTTGATCTTTCCAGGGAGGAGCTTGAAACTGGGAGTTTCTAGCAATGAGCACCAAGATGTGGTCACTTCTGATCCTTCATCCAGCTATTTCAGCAAGAGAATGCTTCCTGTGGCAGCTAAGAGAATGGGCAGCTACCTTTTTTGTGCTACTCTTCATGCTTCACTCTGCCATGCTTTTCTGCTCCGTGAGTTACTGTTTCCTTTCATCCCTTCCCTTCTGTTGCAGGTCTAGGATGGAGAGTTGCATTTTCAGGCTGCCTTTGAGGTACTCAGTCACACCAAGTAAAATGGCACAGTCACAAGCAAGGCAGCTGTGCAGAGACCTGCCTCCTGACTAACTGGCAATCGGGCAGTGCTCTAACACTAGGAGACAGGGAGCTGCCATTTTGTGATGCCACATAGGCTGGGGCAGGAGAGGTCCTAGACCCTGGTGTGATGGGTCTTTTTGTAATGGAAGAGATCTCTGTGTGTCATGCATCTTTTTACTGATTCTGGTGTGAGTTCTGTTCTTAGGGGACACAAAGGCAATCAAATGGCATTGGAGGAAGAAAAGCACACAGCAGTGGGAGTTGGCTTCTGCCTCAGAGTAGCTGGGGAGACCACAGGCAAGTCAGGGAAGGCCTCAGTTTCTCTGCTTGAGGCAAGCTTTTCTGTTAAGATTTCACATCTATTCTTCACAATAATAATTCATACACACACACACACATATAGCTAATATCTTAATGTGATAAACAGAAATCCAGCTCTCTGCAGAGGGTATTACTGTAATATAAGCAATCATTAGAAAATAACATGTACATTAAAATTGTTAGTTTCTATTTTCTTGCATTGTGATGAGAGCATATTTCTTCTCTATATATTTTTGAAATTTATAGGTATTTCTGGCCTATTATATTGTTATTTTTGTACATGTACAATGGATATTAGGGATAAAGTATATATTCCTTGTTTTCATAAAGGTTGATATATAGCTCTCTCTCTCACACACACACACACATATTCTGCATGTCTTTTTCTAATATACCTTAAAACCTTACCTATTTTTGAGGTCCTTAAGGACATGCTGATAGAGGTGAATTAAAGTCTCCTACCACTGCTACAAAAGAGGATTATAAATTACCACACAGAGCAGTAATTTTCTGAAGAGTTTTGTTTTATTCTACCAGTTTTGATGCTACTATTCTGGTTGACGTGGAGATTGTGTTAATTTTCGATCCCTATGTCAAATTACCAAGGACTGAATTACTTAAAATCCCCCCCTCCACTTTTTCACTTCATAGTTTCTGCAGTCAGGTTTAGTCTTACTGTAGGCACATTTTCTGCTCACATCTCTTTCACCCAGCTCTTTGCAAACCACAGGCCTCTATTCAGGCTTCTCCTCCTGCCTCTTGGCAGGCCTCAGGCCTCTCTCAGGACCCTCCTCAGGCCTCTCCCAGCCTCTCCCCAGGACTCTCAGGCCCCTCCCAGCCTCTCTCCCCAGGCCTCCCCCATCCTCTCCCCAGGCCTCCCCCCAGCCTCTCCCCGGCTCCTCCCAGCCTCTCTCCAGGCCCCTCTCAGCCTCTCCAATCCTCTCCCCAGGCTTCTCCCAGCCTCTCCCCAGGCCTCTCCCTGGCCCCTCAGCCTCTCTGAACCTCTCCCCAGGCCTCTCCCAGCCTCTCCCTAGGCCTCTCCGCAGGCTCCTCCCAGCCTTTTCCCAGGCTTCTCGCAGATCTCTCCCCAGGCCTCTCTGAACCTCCTGCAGGCCTCTCCCCATTCCTCTCCCAGGCCTCTCTGAACCTCTCCCAGCCTCTCCCCAGGCCTCTCCCAACCTCCCCGCAGACCCCTCCCAGCCTTTCCCCAGGCCTCTCCAAACCTCTCCCCAGGCCTCTGTGAACCTCCTGCAGGCCTCTCCCAGCCTCTCCCCAGGCCTCTCCCAGCCTCTCCCCAGGCTCCTCCCAGCCTCTCCCCAGGCCTCTCCCAGCCTCTCCGCAGGCCCCTCCCAGCCTCTCCCCAGGCCTCTCCGCAGACCTCTCCCCAGGCCTCTCCGAATCTCTCCCAGGCCTCTCCGCAGGCCCCTCCCAGCCTCTCCCCAGGCTCCTCCCAGCTTCTCCCCAGACCTCTCCGCAGGCCCCTCCCAGCCTCTCCCCAGGCTTCTCGCAGGCCTCTCCAAACCTCCCCGCAGGTCCCTCCCAGCCTCTCTCAGGCCTTCAGGCTGGGCGCTGGTTCTCCCGGTCGTCTCCAGCTGTGGGCAGCTGGTGGCGGGACTTACCGGCTTCCGAAGCCGGTGAGGTGGTGCGTGCGCCCGCCGTCGCGGTTAGTCCATCAACAAAGCAGCTGCTGCGGCAGGCGATGGATGGACAGGCGTGGGGACCGGAGGCCGCGGCGGCCCGGAGGCTCACCGGGCGGCCCTCCTCACCTGTGTCTGTGACTTCCGACGAGACGGCGGGCGGGGGCACCGGAAGCGGGCACCGCCTGCTCGCCAGCCCTGCGCAAGGCTTTGGCTAGTCCCGGCGATGCGGGCCCTGCCACAGCGAGCGAACCGCCTCCAGGGGTCCGTGCGGGCCGGAAGCGCCTCCAGGGGTCCGTGCGGGCCGGAAGCGCCTCCAGGGGTCCGTGCGGGCCGGAAGCGCTTCCAGGGGTCCGTGCGGGGCGGAACTCGTCTCCAGGGGTCCGTGCGGGCCGGAAGCGCCTCCAGGGGTCCGTGCGGGCCGGAAGCGCCTCCAGGGGTCCGTGCGGGGCGGAACTCGTCTCCAGGGGTCCGTGCGGGCCGGAAGCGCCTCCAGGGGTCCTCGGGACCG